ACAGACAGACAGACAAACAGACAGACAGACAGACAGACAGACAGACAGACAGACAGACAGACAGTCAGACAGTCAGACAGACTGACAGTAGGTAGATTGACAGACAGAAAAAAATAAAGCTTAGAAAGCTTTCCCATCCATCTACTGTTCTGTTTTCTTATTTTCTCCTTTTGTATGTTTCTTTTGAAGTTCTTTCTTTCATTTTTAGGAAGGGGTGGGGTCCTTATTGAGGTTTATTTATTGTTGTTTTTGAAGGGGTTTCCTTCCACTTCTTTTCTTCTTGCACTGGGAGAAAAGAGTCTTCGTTTCAAGGTCTGACAGAAAGACAAAAAGAGGAAACATGTACATCAGCACAACCTACCAGACGCACTCTCCAAACACCGGAGGGAAATGAGGAAAAGGAAGGGTGTTTGTTTTGTTTTAGTACACTTTTTACGGCACTTTCAATAAGAATAGATGTGTTACACAAGAGCACGTTTTTACTTCCCCCCCCCCCCCTCCTCTGGTATCCTCAGGGTGTCGAGGGGTATAAGACAGTAACATAAAACGTAAAAAGAAGGAGGAGAAGAGATGAGAACGATAGATATTTGATAAGAAAGACGGAGCAAACATCACCAGAGCACCTGCTAACCACCCACTGGACACTGGGGGAGCGGTTAGGAAAACAGAAAGTTGCAATGGTACCATGATCTCCCGTGGAATGGTCGGCACACTCGTCGCCTGAGTACAACAACCCTGTAGCCCACACGATGTCAAAAAAACATTTTTAAATATTTTTTTCCACTAAACGTTACGTTGCAGGCTTTGTGTTAAATCTTTAGACATGTAGCTCAATAAACATCGCCAGGGCAACTTTCCGACTTTAATTTTTAACAAACATGATTAGGTGATTTTGTTAATTTAAAAAAAAAAATTGTGGGAAACAGGATGTTGTACTCGGGCGACGCTATTATACCACTAATAGACCTAACTTGTTGGTGTACTTCTTGGAGCTGCTAATTTGAGCGATGAACCTCCCGAAACCGGATACATTCATGTCACGCACAACAAAGTAACGCCAAGAGTATTCGAACTACGTACGTAGAAACACGATACTGTATATTGAAACCAAATACCAATGAGATATATAATCGTTATTGCTGTGATACAAAAACAACAACAGCACAAAGGCTGGTGCTCGTAACTGCATAAGTCATGAAGTTTACATGAAGAACACCCACCAAATGGCTCTAGACTACGGGGTCGGAAAGGGAAGGGGAAAGGGGGGGGGGGGCAGCTAAAGTATGCATCCATCTATTCGTTTAGCTAACAGAGAAACACACTGACAAAATAACGGGCATATATAGTGCAGGGAAGAAGCAAGACGAGAAACAACAGAGGGGAAAAAAGAAGTACGACCTACCCGTGACACCCTCCAACCATCCGCCTTTTAGCAAGGTGCTGATCAGGGGTGTACACATACATACATACATACATACATACATACAAACAAAAAGTAGAAGCAGAAGACCGACAACTCACCAAGCCTACACAGTAGATGCAATAAACTACACCCCAGAGCTCTCCGCTTGGGAAAGTTAGGGGTGGTCGTTTTGGCTTTTTGGTTGAGTTGCTTTGCTTTATTTTCGTTCGTTTCTGTTACACATTTCTCTCGTGTGGTGATTAGGCTCTTCGCCGACGCACACAGTAGACCTGGGTTCGATTCTAGAGTGAGGAGAGTTTCTGTTGAATGTCTCCTCCTTTCTGTGGGAACGTTGTATCCTTTTCGACCTGGGCTGGCCCTATCAGGCAGGGTCGAAGCCCACCTCCTAAATTACCTATAGTATCGATGGGGAGGATAAAAAAAATGTATATCCATTTTTTAAAACATGCATTTCTTTCTTTCCAAAGTGAGAATTCCAGATCATGAATGTCAGATAATATTCAACCATTGAAAGTTGTTACTGTTGTTATCTGTCGCTGTCGGTCGTTGCGCTTGATGTCGTCGTCGTTGTTGTTAAGCAGGCCAAGCAGAGAAATGAGTGGACGCCGCTAGAACCACGAAAACAGCATCCTTTGTGAACGTAAACCATCCACGGTCAGCTCTGGACGGCAAGGACTGACTTGGCGTGTGTGTGTGTG